TAGAGAAAAACACGTTACTCATTGAACTCCATTCCTTTTACAGCAGTCTATTTAATTTTTATCTGATTCCTTAAACAAACAGAGAAAAGCATCAGATGTAACACACCTTGTCAGAGCAAACATGTTAGTAGCAAGGAGTCCACAATAAAGACATGATACTGTAAGTATGATCTACTTCTGCACCTGCTCTAAGCTCTACACACCCCTTTCATAAACAAGAGCTTCTCTTTTAGCACTTTACCTTGGAGCGCTATTGTGCGGAGCGGTTTTGAACAAACCTTTCAATGATATCTGCCATCTTTCCATCCGTGTTGAAATCCAATCACCCGGAAATCACTGAAGAGGCAAATAAAGGTGCAATGATATGATAAATGCAAGAAAAGGCTTTCTAAATTGTGAAATGTTCTATAATTTAGATGTGCACACAAGTTATTTGTCCAAGAAATTCAACAGGATCTCCAAACAATCTCCTCTGCAAATAGAGGGAGGAAATAAGCTTCACTTGGCGGGTTTCTCCAGCTCGATAAGGCACAGAGGGCACACAGTAACCAGTGTGTTTCACCTCATTTCTCCAGGGCCCAAGTAAACACAGCTAATGATGTAATGAAGTAAACAGCGATTTACATCTACGGAGCCTGTGCCTACACGAGATGCCCTGGCAGAAGCGAATGAGATCATGTCTCGGCCTGCTCCAAGGACATGAATATTTACAGTTCAGACTGGAACAGGGCTGTAAATCACATAAAGAGCCCGAGGTAAACTACAGACCCATTACATGTCTTACTGTCCAAGGGTCAGTTAAAGTCTTAATTCGTGACATTTATAGGTCACTGTGAGGATCGGTGTTAGGACGGAGCTAACTGAAGGTAGCGACACTACTAACTAAATTTTTCAGCAGCTTGGTTGTGTTCAAAACAGTAGTTTTTCCAGTATCATGCTACTTTTTCCAACAACTAGCGGTGTCGTGTGACAAAACGAGTGAATTGAAGCAAAAATGAAACGTGTTCATTCAAGAACATTTCAGTGATTCATTCATCCGAATGGTTCATATGTAAATAAACTGGTTCCTAAAAACATTTTTTTTCTAGTTTTATTCGGTTAAATGTAAATGTATCTATTCAAGTTGTCAAATTGAGACCTCATACTATTTAAAAATAAACTACTCCCTTAAATAGCTTCAAATGTAGCCATTTACTTCAAAAAGTGTGACTTAGATGTAGTTAAGTTCTGAAACTAAGTAACAGTTTCATAGCAGCTTCCTCAACACAGGTTTTCTACATATGATTAATCTCAAATCATGAATTATATCAAATGAGATCAGTCGGCTTTGTGTCTGTATCCAAAAAACTCAACCTCCCCGATCTGCTTTTGCCCTCTAATGTTATTTGTCTCAGCTCTCTTCAATCCCCTTTGGAGGGTCGATTCCAGCGCTCATCTGTCTGCACAAGCAAGGTTAAAAGTACACATGAGGTGTCGTGGCGGGAGTTCGCTATGGCCAAGCACTGAGCCTGAGAAATCAAGCATGTTATTTATGAACCATTCGGCCATTGATTACACTCACCTGGGCACAGGGTGAAGCACGCAAGGTGCCTGTAACAACTGGTGGCCCTACCAGGAATTCATTTGTTGTTCAAATTGCTACAGTATCCTACCATTAACCATTAACATGGCCATACCACTGTCACAAAATCAACTTTGCCAGAAGGTTAAGGAAAAAATGCACACACTGACACACACACACACACACACACACACCACCATTTAAAAGTTTCAGAATCAGTAAGATTTGGTTTTCTTTTGAAAGCAATTCATACTTTTTTACAGCAAGCAATTGACCAAAATTGACATTAAAGAAGAAGAAATAAGAATGAATAAGATTTTTATAAGGATCAGGATTAAATTACACTTTACAAATGATTAAAATAGAAATTGCTATTTTAAATTGCAATAATATTTGTTTTGGAAACTTCCCAGGATTTTTTGGAATCTTCCAGGGATTTTTGGAAAGTTTCCGGAAATTTTCCACCCCTTTGCAAGCCTACGACAGACTACCACAATCTGACATACTTTACTGGGACAATCGCTCCATCACAGCAAACAACTAAATCAGTTCTTTAAAATGACAAAAGTAAGTGTGTCTACACATGGATTTTTAGAACGTTCCAGTGCACTTCTCCATCATTTGATCATCACATGAAGAATTGCAATCAATAGAAAATGTAAACAAAATTGAATTTACCACCAGCTTTCTGTGAGCAGTAATGGCGCAATGGTGCAACGTTAACTAGCTTAAGTGAACAATGTGCAATCTAAATCCTATTCTTAATAAATATTTGTCTAATTTTACAGTTAAAATATGTTATGCAATATTGATTCTCAAGTAAATTTCTCTTATTTTAAAGGGATAATTCACTTAAAATAATTTAATCTTATGTCATTCCAAATCTGTATGACTTATGCATAACATAAAACGAGATATCTTGAAGAATGTTTGGGGTCTAAACAAAACTGAACCCAACTGAATTCATTCTTTTAATGTCTGGACTAAAAAAAACCACATAAAAAATAAAGTCTGGTAAAACTAGATTGCGGGTGGTTAGTAAATAAGACAGAGGTGAAATACTGCCTAAAGAATTTTATTCCACCAGCTTTGAGAATCGAGCAGCATAATGGTTTACTAATAATAAATACCAGAGGAACAGCATAAACTCTTCTGACTGGGTTTTTAGAGACGTGTGGTTTCTAAAGAAAAGAAAAAAATGATCAGATTTATTTAAAATGTTAGTTTTGTTTACTTTTGCCACTCATGGGCAGACCGGATTGATCCCTGCTTGTGTTTTCTCTGAGCTTTCTGCTACTGTTTGTAGTGCAAGAAGCAGTCAAATTAATCACTGAAATCATTCTGATTACAGCAAAAATAATCCTAACCGCATAGTCCAACTAAATGACCTTTTGAATCATTGTTAAACAAACATCCTGATGGGCAACCTACTAGCTCTCTGGATCTGCCTGCCATGCATGCACACAGATTTGTGGGTTTGTGGTATTATACGGAAATTTATTTCTGCACAAATGTCAAAAGACTGCCACGTTTCAATATTAGATCAAAATCAAAACATGATTAACTTATTATGACTGGATGTTTTCCTGGCTGCGGCAAAAATCTCAAGGACTTCATAGAGATTTCTTTGATGCACTCGGTCAAATGGCCAGTGTTCGGTGCGCAGTCTCAGCTTTGCTTCTGACATTCGAGGGTTGGAGCTATTTTAAGGAGACCCCAGTGCCTCTGGCAGGTCCACCACACGCCACTGTATAGCGGCTTCCATAGAGCTGAAGAATGGCTCCATTATTCCCCCACAAACACATATACTTTCACAGAGACCCACCCACTTCTGACCTGATCTCGCGGAAACCCACCACTATCGGAAATTCCCCCGTTTTGTGAAGGTAGGAACAAAACAGAACAGAATGAATCACTGAATAACTAGAATGAAGGTTGAAAATAGACCTTTTTAAGAACATTTTAATGAGTTTATTCATTTATCTTAAAGATTTTACCTTGTGAAAGGCTTTTATAATGCATGCAGCATTTAATTAGCCTTGGAATTATTCAATTATTTTATATAGACTGATTTTATTCCCTTTGGTGAAGATTGTGTCCAATTACAAAACTAAATGATTCATAATCTTTCAGTTCAACAAAATAATTGCCAGTCACATGCCAGAGCAGATGGTAAGTTTTCATACAATCTTTTCGTAAATAAGACTTATAAAGTGCCTTTATCAGAGAGGATGTTAATTTTTTTGATCAAATAAATGCAGCCTTGGTGAGCATAAGAGACTTCTTTCAAAAACAAACAAACAAACAAACTGATCCAAAACTTTTGAACGGCAATAAATTTTGTCTACAATAAATAAAAAGTCTCTAAAATCAACTGAAAAACATATGGTAGCTTTGTAAAATCTCTACAAACCTTAAAAGAAAAAAAAACATCTGCGTTTCATCATTCTGCCACTCGCTCTGCCACCAAGTCAAACATGAACCCATCCACAAATATATAGCCTGCCCCGTGTGTTTACGCGAGTGTGTGTGTGTTTGTGTACATGTGTGTGTGTGAGCATCAGGAAATACCAGGCCAAGCATTCCAGCTCGTCAGCACCTCTGGCCCTCATGTGACTGGAGATACACAGACCAGATTGTGTCTGCAAGTTTACTCAAGAAGCATGATAAGAAAATTTAGTAAAAGTGAGGGAGCGGGAGGGGTAAAAGAAGGATAATCTGATATGCATGACTTGTGGTTTCTCCTAGCCCCTCTCTTTTCTTTGCCCTGGCAGATATGGCAGTTTGCATCCATAATTTACAGGCTTCTCTTCTCCCTCTTCTCCTGGCAATCTGGCCTTTATGGCTCCGCCTCCTTGCAAACTCATTAGCATAATGTAGATGCTACTAAAAAAAACCACATTTTCACCTTCGAGCTGTTCCATGTCTCATCAGTACACGAGACCAGGCAAAAAGCGGTGAACGTATTAAAGGCTCAGGATGAAACACTTCATGCCACATGTGCTGTTTAGACGAATGTCTCCGACTGCCTGCTCAAACTGATTTTTTTCCAAAGAATCTCACATCTCAGTAATTGTGCCTGCCTTTAATAATCACGTAAAAAAAACTGACACTGACGTTGTAAGGGGAAACAACAAAGCAGCGAGTGATTTGAGAGGCCCTGCTGCTAATTATGACTCATGTTATACAGAGCGTTCTGTTGCTGCTCAAAAACACTAAATAAATTCGTCGTTTGACTGTGCTCAAGAAATATGAGCGTCTGACACGATAACGTGCATGCTTTCCAGTTTTTAGCACCAATTACGCCATTCGAGTTAATTCGGGAAAGTTGTTTTGAAGATAACAGCATGCGAGCGGCACGTGTGTGTGCAAATCTGCGATTAGGTGAACAATCATTAGCAGAAATGAGCAGTGAAGGATCATCAGTCAAAGCACTTACCGGAGGATGCAGTAGATTTCTTTGTTCAGTATTTGGCAAATTCACTCACATATCCTCATCAATCATAGAAGTGATCTGGAAGTTAAAAAAAGAACACATTATATTAATCCTTTGCAAAAATAAATGGTGTGCACGGTTACATATGTTGTTCTCAGTATTCATAATCCCCCGTTATACCTTCCCTGCTTGATGTACCATTGTGATCAGTGGCATTTATCAGCTAGTACAGGAGACAATCTAACCATTATAGTGATGATATACAACGGCAACTGTAATATTTTTCATAAAAAACAGCCAAATTTAGCCTACTTACAAGAAAAAAAGCCGTCTTTAACACTAGAACTGCCAGAGGTTGCTGTATACCTAAAAGCGCCAGCGGGTAAATTTTACCCACGCACATGACAACTGTATTTATATGGCTAAAGAACATATTATTTCACTGTATTATGCCACTGTCTTCACAAAGAAGTGTCTAGAGTCATGAAATTATTACGTCTAGTCATCAACTATATTTTTATCTTGTTGTTTTATGTTCAAGATTTTTTTAATGCAGGCTACCCTAATCCATAACGGTCAGTAGTCCAAGCTAAAAAAAAAAAAAAGCCTGCACTGACAACAGAAATTAGAAGGTAGTAGCCTAAATATTCGGGTGGTGTAAGCTAATATTATAATACAATTTCATTAATCAATATATTAAGATAACCCATGGTATTTAAATTACTAAAATAGCCTATAGACAATAATGAGCAATAATAATTCACCACACTGCATAGGATGATGCAATGAAAAATTCAAGTGCACAGCTTCACCTAAATATTTATTAATTTGTTTAGTTATATCATTTATAATTTGAATAAGAGAACAACACCATTAAACTTTGGGTATTCAAAAATTGGTTTTATTCATTACATCATATAGATCGGATTTATTTTTTCTTCAGGAAACGGCCAGACTAGAACAGCAACACAGTGGCGAACAATAAACTACATGGCAAGACAAAAATTAAATAATTAAACCAAAGTTTGACCAATTAGAGTAACGTGAGGCTAAAGCATGTAAATATGATATCTGGATCACTGTCAGATGAGCCGTCAGATGCTGAGCCGACCCAGGACTCATAACTTACCATCAGACTCTCCATCACTCATGGCATTTAGGGTTTCTAATACCTACCTTCCATAAATCGCCTTTTTTTTGTCACTTTGACTTTATTTATGAAACTGATAACCGCTAAATCAGTGAGTGAAAGGCATTGCCTAGAAATGTACAATGTTAAAACATAAGCGGCAAGAAAATGACAGCGCAAAAATACATGCATTATATAGGTGGGTAAATTTGACCCGTTGGCGCTTATAGGTATAAATGCCCCGTTTTTTGATCTGGTTTTATCGAAATAATTTTTAACAACATTGTATTGTAAATGACATAATTTTAGTAAAAGTCAATGACTGGGAGATTTAAATGTTTTATTTTAAATCTTTTATGTACATTTGAAAAACAGCCACAGGTAAAATTTACCCCGTGGCGGTTCTAGGGTTAATAACATTAAAAAATGCTAATGCAACAACTTGCCTAGGTCCAACTGATCCCACTGATTCAAACAAACTGACCATCCCAAGATATCCAACTAAATGCATTTTAAATTTTAAAAGTTTTTTATAAAACTGTTGGTCTATTTAATGCTGATGTTTTAATGTAACAACAAAATAATTAACTTTTTATGACAATTCTCTTTAATAGCCTGTAATAATGCTAAAAGGTCAATGAAACCTGTCACTGACAGCATCCGAGAAACAATATTCATTTCAAGCACATAAAAAAACAAACAATAAAAGATAGTGATAAATTCTCTGTTCGTGACTTAATATTTATGAGTATTCTTTGCCATTCCATGATGTCACAACCAGCACACCAAATAAAAAGTAAGACTAAAATAAAAACACATTTATTGGTTAAGGAGCTGTGGAAAAAGCTGACTTGCCTTCAGGGTCCCGATCATCACCCTGTCAGGGTTTACAGTATGTTGCAATAACGACAGGCTGACTGCAATTTATACCTTACTTAATGTATGCGAAGGGGGCGTGGTTTGAGTAAGAACAACAAACATTTGTATCCTGTCTAGACCACAACACAGATTACCTACTACAGAATAAATCACACAATGAGATTTAACAACATACAACATCTTATGAGTTTGAAAGTCATTTTACAACTTTTAATTTACACCATTAAATGTTCTGGAAAAAACAGACATGTAATTTGCAGACAAACCCTGGAAGCTTTTATGTAGCAATGTAGCACACTAATGTAGCAAGATGAAGAAACGTACAGTACTAAATTGTACAGTCAACATTCTTCACTCCAGCTCAATTATAACCAATAAGCAAAATCATCCACTGTGATTATTTAATGGACACATCCTAGACTCAAAAAGTCAGGGTTCAAAGAAAATCCAGGATTCCCCACTGGCACTGACGGCACATGAGCGCACTTCTCGTAAACACGATAATTCTGACATGACTTGAAGGCAGCAATAATCTGTTCATATAAAACTTTCTGTCTTTGTTTATCTTTCTCATCAGCTTCTACAGCTCCACTATCCATATCCTGTCATGCAACTGTCATTGAGCCTGAATAAATGGACTTATAATCTAAAAGGGAAAAAAAGTGACAATCTGTCTGATTCTCTGGCCTCCACATGCGACTGGAGTGCAGGGTCTATTAGGTGTGTTTATTGCTTGAATTCCTGCTATCAACCCCTACGGACCCATATAGCTGTAATTTCATATGAATATTTCAAGTCATGCTTCGACTATGAATGGACTCTGTTATCCTGACTGTATTTCTAATACCCACATACCACTTTTGATACACCAGAATATTGTAATTGTGTCAGGTCACAGTGACTACAGGTACCAGAATGATGATAATAAAAATAATAACTTCCACACAGTATGCTATTAAATTACACTCAAATCTGGTTGGCCGCTGTGACCCTCTCATTTATTTTCTTATTTTTGAGTCAAATTAAATTGGACATATCCTTTTAATGAACAAAATGCTCTACAGTACTTGCATTAAAGGGGTCCTATTATGCTCTTTTACTTGATTTTGTTTTGGGGGTGTACTAGAACAGGCTCTCATACTAGGTTGTTTGAAAAACACATTATTTTTCACATATTTTACATTATTACAACACCTCTCTCCCCAGTCTGGCATGAACGGCTCGAATAGTTCCTGTATCAAATGAAGGCCCGCCTTCTGAAATACGAAATATGCTGTGATTGGTTAGCTGGGCCAGTGTGTGTGTTGTGATTGGCAGCACTCGGCGCCTGGTCGGGAAATGTCATGCCCCTTACCATAGCTGCCTGCGAGCTTCAGTGTAAATATTGCGTCAAAATCAAATCAATTTGAGCGCGATTTAAACCCGGATGATTGTAACCACTTTAAGTTCGTCTGCCTTGGGAAAGCTAGCGTGTCTCCGACATAGTGATAACACTTGTTGCCTTCTCTAGTGCAGCTCAACCAGGTCTCGTCCCATTCGTCGATATTTGTGATATCACAAATCCAGGAAAATATGCGTTGTAGTCCAAACGAGTCGTTCGTTGTAGTTTTTGAGAAGTGATTTCTGTTAAATAAAATATCTCCTTTTGAAGTGGACTTTGAGCTTTGTAACTTTGCAGATCTTTTTTATGCTCAAACAGCAACATTACAGACTAACTAAAATTGAAAAAGTGAAAAAGCATAATAGGATCCCTTTAAGCATTTGAGGACAGACCAAATGTGAAGTGAACATTAACGTCCTTCTCAGAGAACATCCGCCAGTGTTATTCCGGACACGATGTCCAAGGACTTACCGAAATAAGGTTTAGACACAAGGATGTTATAGGTTATTCCTTAAGGACTGTCACTGCTCCAGATTTCAATGGGCTACTACCGTTTTAATTGGTACAATTAGGTTATCGAAACCCACATCTGATGAAACATCCAGCATCATAATAAAACGAATTTAAAAAATCAACAACAAAAAAATATTAATAAATGTATGGAAAAAATCTATAATAAATGTAAAAAAATTTTTTTAAACATTTATAATTATTTTTAATAAAAATAATAAATGCACGTCTTTCTGAAACATTTAAATAACAATTAGTCCAATTTTATAATAACAACTAATAATAATGAATACAAAAACCCCTGCATTAACATGAAACTGTGACAAAGCGAGTATCATTTACTTATGAAGAAAATATGACCTTCAGGCTGGATGACTGATCTGGAGTCACTCAGCATGAGAGAAACCCATGAGATGGGCTGATACTAACAATAAAGGAAAGACACAGTCGGGATACAGGAGGCCGAGACAGCAAAGGCTTGATTATCCACACTTTCACGGTCATGGAGCACAAACTGAGAGCCGTCTATAGCCGACCTCCTCCGGTTCTTGGACTGCAGTGGCGCTCAGATGGGCTGCTGGATTGGGGTGCATTGTCTGTGCTCCACACTCATTAGCTGAGTCAAGGAGGGACTTACTGGGGTGTTTAGCTCGCCGGGTTTGTGTGGCAGCTCAACAAGCTCTCCCAGCTGGAGTACGGCTCTCACATCACAGCTGCACACTTACAATTAGTGCAGGTGCAGCTGAGGAAAGACCAGGCACAACACAGACAAACACACAAAGATAGAAAACACACACTTACAGAGGTGTTGCACACCGCCGATGAGGGCTGTTCCATGTAAAACAAAGCACTGATGACTCAAAAACCAGCTCATTATAAAAATACAATACAATACAAGAAAAACATTTTGAATTTAGTGGGTTTTCTCTGGTTTTGACATTGAAAAGTCAAGATGTGTGTGTTTTGCCGTTCTGCCTAAATGGTTATGACCTTTACATGATAAAAGCTTAGCTTAAGGCATTTACATTAACTTACACATCATTAAGAATAATCAGTGTGATCAAGCATGTAAACAGAATTATAATAGATTTTAATATGAAATCGTCTTTCATTTGCATGTTCAAATCCTATCTGAACCAAAACTAGCATTCCATTAGGAAGCTAAATTGTTCTGGATGA